GAATTAATATATATAAATACAATATAAAATAAATCAAGTTGATAGTGTGTATTTTGAAAGACTTTTATATAAGGCATTTGGCAACCTTAATCAAATCTACTTATTTCTCTGACCACGTCTGTACCTAATTGAATCTTCTTTTGATTCTCGCCATCTGAATTCAATTTCTTTTTTTTCCTCCTTCCCTTTTCTTCCTATCTCTAACAGAAAGACAGATTGTATTATACTTACCTGTTTACGAACTTTTTATTTTTATGACTAAATCACAAGCAAAAATAATAAGCGACATTTGTTTTCCAACAAATTATACGCTTGTAGACTTTTTCTTCTTTTATTTATTATTTTATTTTTTCTTTTATATGTCTATTGAACTTATTGAATTTTCGATATTTGTAAAAATACAATAAAAATCTTTATTTCCGTTAACTTGTAAAATGATCGCTGTTCAGTAAATCATTTTAGTTTTATTTTGAAGTCGAATGTAATTTATTTAACCAAATAAAGTTAAATTATTTTCCTTTTTTTTAAAAAAATTAATTATGTTTTTTATTTATTTTATTATTTGGCTAAAGAATTTTTACAGTGAAATTTAAGATATTTAATTTTTATTTTTCTTTCTCTAAAATATCGATAAAATTACTAGAATAACATCTTACAATACTGTATCATTTTATAGAAAAGTAAATAATACCGTTTGATAGTTTTATTTTTGTAAAATAATAACAGAAAGTATAACTTATAACAAACATAAAATCTCTACTAAATCATACGTTTATTATTGTAAGTAGAACAAATGGAGGATCAATTTTTATTTATTTATTTCGCTAGTGGTATTTTCATTGTGTCTTATAGTAATTTTTACTGGTACTGTATTTGTTACAGGCTTTAGATTATTAGTAAATTTTATCTGTATTTACTATTAAAAATGAACGAATTAATAATTAAATTTTTAAAATTATTTGTAAGTAACTTTTAGTAGTAAATACTTCACCAAAACTTATTAAATTTTATAATTTTTTTTACTTATATCTTAATTATTTCGATGCTTTCTATTTTTTTTTCAGGCATTCGAAATGCATAATTATTTTAAAAAATCCTCTAAAATAAAAATTTTTAACAGAATTATATACTTTATAAAGAAAATGTATCATCTAATTTATAAATTCAGCTATACTTTAAGTGTATATTATTCATGAAATACGATATTTTACTTTATATTTATTAAATAATTTTTAATAATAAATTTATTTTTATGACGAAAAAAAGTAATTTAACATTCTAAAATGAATAATTTTTTAATCTGAAATAAAAAATCATTAAAATAAAGTATCAATCCAACAATACAATACATCGTAAGATTTTTTGAAAAGAATCACCACTTAAGAGGAACTTAAACGTCTATGAGTGGTTAAATTTCCGGATCTCTAGCATCAAATAGGAATTCCAACTAAGAATCTTTCAAGTACTCTCTATAAAGAAAAAATATATATATCTAAAAAATCCGAAAGAAACCTTCAAAAAATTGCCTTTGATATTCTTAGTAAAATATGTATTATATGTAAGATTTTTATGGAAGATACTAAAGAAAGTTTCCCTCATTTAACCTCTATTATACGTACAATATGCTACATTAATACTAAAATCGATGATTTATGAATATGTTGTTATGTTGAAGGAGAGAGTCTCCCTATACCTCAATCTATATAGGATAGCTTGAGGATATTGTCAGCTGCAGGAGACCTCATGGCAGTGATGTAGAAGGCGTTATGTTACTTAGCTGTTAGTCAGGATGTCAGAAAAGGAAGCGTGGTTGGAATTCTGAGATATTTTCTTCCACATTAGTGGATAAAAGCAGGAAAAAAAATATAAAGAAAAGAGCAACATTTCCACAATGAATTTCTAAAGTAACAATACTCATAATCAGTATAAGGTATGCAGTAAATTACTATGACATTTACATGCACATTATTTACAATAAAATACGTGAAAGAAATGTTCTAACTTGTCTCATCTAAATTAATTTTTCTTATGTTACATCATTACTTCCTACAAATTATCATTATTTAAAATTGATGGCTATTTCTTTTCTAATTTTTATTAAAAAAATACGTCAATTTTTTACAAATTATTTTTTTAATTAGTAAAAAAAATTCCTTAGTTTAAAATATATTAAAATTTAAGTTTAAAATATCATGTTTTGATTTTTTAAATTTAAGAATAATTATTATTTTTTGTGCTTTTAGAAAGTAAAAAATAGTTATTAAGATAAGAAACATTCATTACGAGTTTTCAAACGTCATAAAAATAGTAACAAGAACATAAATAATTTATATATTTGTATAAAATATGTAAATTAATTTGCATAAAATATTGATTTTTAAAAAAATTATTTTTCCTTCTACTACAAAAAATAAGTATGCTGATAACTATTGATACTTCTATACTAATAAAGTTACATAGCGTTCTATTATATAAATAAAAATATGCATTCATTTAAGATAATGGCACTTATAAAAAGAAAATATCTTTAAAATGAAAGTTTTGAAAATCTTTTAAATGAAAAAGTTTTGAAATGAATTTAAATTTTTTTTATTATTCCTAATCATTACAAAGAGCAAATATTTGTAAAGCAAATTGTTACGTTTTGAAAATGTAAATATTTATTTTTATTGTTATAAAAGTTTGAAGTTTTATTAAAAAGTCGAAAAGAATAAATAGTTCTTTAAATTTTTACAATTCTTTGTTAACAAATAACGTTTTTAAAGTAATAAATTGTAAAGAGACGTTAATGTTACTATCGCAACAATTCTTGCTTCTGCGAGAATTGACGACCTTTCTGTTACTATCGTAACTTTAGATTTATNATAAATAAGGTATAAAATATTTAATCGACAAATATATATATATTTAATTCATAACAAAATATTTAACAAAATCCAATTATTAACAGGAAATTACAACTATTAAACTCCCGATCATCCTTAGTTAATTATTAAAAGTTGGAGTTGATTCACTTTGATGTAAAGTCTAACTGACATCGAATAATACAAATAAGATTAATGAGTTATAAATTTCCAACTTGATGAGATTAATTACAAACTATTCTACTTTCGATTATCATGCTTTAAATTACTTTTGTGAGTTATCAAATTAATTAAAAGTAATTTTTATAACTTATTCTAACAAAATGTTTAAAGAGTATCATTTACCTTTATGAGTATATTTTTTTTTTATTCGCTTCCATTATAAAAATCCTTTAAAGATTCTTCGAAACTCGATAAAATTATCTTTTAATCTCCTATTTTTCCACAATTATAAAGTAAATAATCCACTGCGTTATTTAATAATAAACGTAAAAGTTATTATTGGCTTATGAGTCCTGAAATTGTTTATGAGTCTATTAATATCTGTAAGGTAACTTAAGACATCGTTAAGACAATGACCGTCTCTTGTACTTTATGTCTAGTTTTAATTAGTTTTTTAATCCTTTCTGCTTCTTCTAGAAATACAATTTTTAAACTATTTTCCTTACAAGTTTCCAAATATACTTTAAAATATCAAAAAGTGATAATTCGAATGGTTAAGACAATTGAGAGTTTAATTTTTACTTGTAAATTTGGCTACAACTTTCAAATTGAAGACATAAATTTGTGTCCGTCTGTGTGTCTATCCTGTTTTCCTTCTGCCCATTTGACTGATCCGTCTGAGAACGGTGCTATATACAATAGATGAAAATCGAGACCAGATATGGAGATATCGGAAGCCCCGATTAACTATATACAAACTTCTGGTCGGGATAGGAAGTCACGTAATTTTTACTTTTCCATCTGTTTTATATATAAGAGGAAAAGTGTGGCAATCGGTCAAAATTGACCTCAAGATCTCTACATTTTGGGAGTCAAGGGTCCTTGAAATGTCGAGAAGTACCAAAAAAGTTGGGTGCTTTTTCTGTCTGTGGATGGGAGCACGATTTTATTCACCCACTTCAAAGCTTAATAATTCCTGTTCTTATTGTCGAAATTTCCTGAAATTTGGCATGATAGCTTGTTTAAAAGTGACATTGATGCTAGTAAAGTTTGGTAGTTAAAGGCCGAGGGGATGGGGAGATAGAAGGGACACGTTTCATATCTACTCATTTCTATCATCAAAATTAAGGTCTTTGGCATTTTATAATAATTAAGAATATAACAAATTTTAAAATAAAATATAATAATAGATGTCACAATACACAATTTTAAATTTTTTGCCGGTTAAGTTATGCAATTCTGTCCTGGATTTTTCAAAAATTAAAATGTGGTTTAAAATTGTATCCCAGCATTGTGACGAAGTCACAATAACCCCCCCTTTTTTTGTTTAAAATACAAAACTAAATAATTCTTTAAATCTATTTCGTTAATTTTGTGGATTATTTGTAATTTTTGTTTTGTTTTATGATTTAATAACTTGTTACTTATAATTTAAGAATATAAAAAAATATAACTCGACAGCATAAAATAAATATAAACGAGCAAGAATTATTTTTATATTTCTTATATTTTATTATTTTTGTAAGAAAATAATAATTGCTTTTTCTAAATTTAATTAAATAAAAATTTGTAATTTATATTATATATAGATATAAACACTACACACTATAAATATTGTTTATAGTAACTTATAATTTTTTACGACAATTTTAAGTACAATACACGTAAGATACATTATGGGGATAAAAAAAATAAATATTTAAAAAGGTGTTTTAAATTATTAAAAGCAAGCATGAAAATTAAATTATTTCCTTTTTATCTTACTCTTTTCTTTATTTTAAAACTTTAAAAAAAAGGCATTACAAATGCACTTTTTTTTTTACATTCTCATCATCCATAGACGTCTGGGAAGAAATTATAAACGTTACAAATGTAGAAAAGTGTATCCATTAGTAGTAGCTAGAAGAAGAAACAAAATATCGAGAAAACATTTTCATATTTTAAAATTACATTTTCATTTTTATGCATCATTAGGAACGAGATAAGAAGATAAGTGCGGCTGTCTACGTTAATGCAAGTCTCCAGAGAGCCTTAGAAGAAGCAGGATGTCCTCCTGGTGATGCTCCACATTCCATACAACCGACTGGAGAGATTTATTTTAATGGAAAAGGTACAACTATCTCCATCTAAAAATACCTAAATACTATGGTATAATAAAGATTTTTGCACTTAATTAACTTAATAGGGGTGTATAGATCACCGATGATGCTTCCACTGTTGTTTATTTACCATGATTTATTATATGACTACTTACCGCTTTTGCCACTATAAGTGGTCATTTTCTTAGTTGCAAGTGTTTTACTTGATCGAGATTTAGTTTTATTACCGTGACAAATTTTAACAGCCGTACAAAATTATCATCTCTTTTTTTTATATTTTGCCCTTAAATTTTGCTTCCAAAATTATTTTTGATTTATATTTTGCATTTTATCTTTACGTGTTTATACTTTATTTCAACTTTTTTAAATAAACTACTAATTAAAATTAATATTTTAATTGGAAAGAGGGTATATTTTATTTGTTAAAAATAATTCCATAGTGCAGTATATTGTAAACAATTTAATACTAATTTTTTGAATGTAAATTTTTAAAATTTAATTTTTCGATTTTTGTATTTAATATTTACATTTTATTTATTTTATTTAATGTAAAATTGAATAAAAAATATATTTTATTCGAAAAAATATATATATCTTTAATATTTATACGTTAAAGCAGTCGAGCAGTCGAGCAGTTTTATATATAAATTTTCATTTTTATGCATTAAAAATTTTAAAACTTACTTTTTAAAAATGTAAATTGTTTTTTTTAAGATAAACTTTTATTTTTATGCTTTTAGATAAAACGAAAATTGAAACTGAAAGTTAATTTTTTTTTTTACTTTTCTTATCTAAAAAAGTACAGATTTCAGTTTCAACAGATAAAATATAACTTAAAATTTGTCTGTTTCAAAAAAGACAATTTTTTTTTCTACAAAAAGTTAAATAAAAGACAACTTTATCTCTAAAAAGATAAATTTTCCAGTAAATGACAATTATTAATAATAATAAAAAAATAACAAAAAAAA